TCAGCTATTCAACTCTGAGACCAAAAGGCTATTGACATACTAATACCACCCTAACAACCGGTTGGATTCAAGGTCATAACACGAGTGATATTCTCCCATTAGCTATAGACAGTAAAAAGTCAAGTAGTTCAAAATAAACGTGTGCCAAATATGTCTTGTAGACTTTCTTTTTGAAACTCGTCCAAAATTAATTCGGCTGCTGGCCTCAGCATATTTGGCGAGAAGTATGGGTGTCTTGCCCTCACGCACTCCAGCTGGCAATGGTAATATTTATTGCCCTCYGAGCTAAGGCGCTGGACACCCTGCYGGTCAAAGTACAGGTCCCGCTCTTTGTGTTGGATGACAACACCAACACATGCGGGACCATCCTGAGACCGGTGGGGATAGGGGCATCCAGCACATTTTTTCACCCTGTTGGAAAGGTTTACTAGTATAAAAGGATTGCTATTAAACCAAGGAGGCCRTCCAATAGGTACTATCGGACGTGGTGGGTACTGATTAGGTTGTCTGGACGCCGACAGCGGCAGGATCTGGGCGTGGCTGGTTGTCTGGATGCCGACAGCGGCAGGATCTGGGCGTGGCTGGTATTGCCAGTCGTCAGGGCTGGTTGTCTGGACGCCGACAGCGGCAGGATCTGGGCGTGGCTGGTATTGCCAGTCGTCGGGGCTGGTTGTCTGGACGCCGACAGCGGCAGGATCTGGGCGTGGCTGGTATTGCCAGTCGTCGGGGCTGGTTGTCTGGACGCCGACAGTGGCAGGATCTGGGCGTGGCTGGTATTGCCAGTCGTCGGGGCTGGTTGTCTGGACACCGACAGCGGCAGGATCTGGGCGTGGCTGGTATTGCCAGTCGTCGGGACTGGTTGTCTGGACGCCGACAGCTGTGTAGGCTAGAAAGGTGAAACCCTTTCAAACAGTGTCTGCAAAACATCGGGATCAATAATCTTTTGACACAATGTCATCGTTTTCGTTTACTTTGAGTACGTTTATCATTGTCCAAATGACATGGAAGCACACGTTTCTTCCGTTACCAAAGGAACAGTTACAAGAGGTCRTGCTCCCGATCTCAACAAGCCTGATGTTGCCATTGTCGTTCAATTCAAATACCTTTTTATCATTATTGATGTCATGAATTCCTGTCAAATCAATTTTTGCTCGTTTTGCCAGCTTCAAAGATTGTTCAAAAGCTTTACTTCTTGACTTTCTTTTTCGATATTGAGGTCTGGCGTTAGACTGATGAACTGTTCCCTCCTCGTCAGTAGACCCCTCCATGTCTTGGAGATCAGCCATCATGCTCGCGTGATGATTTGTTGGTCGCTTGGCCCTATGAGAGGAGTTTTCATCCACAAGGATGCCAGCTGTATAAAAGCTCGGATCTACATCGCCAGAAGAAAGCTCTCTAGCAAAYGCACTAGCACGATCCACTTGTCTTCTAAGGGAAGTTTGATCTTTTTGCTTCTGGTTTCGGCACCTGCCCCCCGCATAGTTTCCCTCCATATACTGTTCCAGTTTTCCTTTTAGCAAGGCAGATTCGATGACATGGTCTTCTGCAGCCCGAGCCAGGGAATCATTGCGAGCCCCACGAATAGCATTGCGTGCATGGCCTACTTCGGCCATGTTGGTGTTTGAAGTGGTAGAAGACTTGAACCCACGAAATGCATGGAAGCGCCGTGGGTGCCAAAAGCTCTCAAACCACTTCTTTGCATTCACACGCTTTGCCTTTATACCGGACCACGTATGGAGCCGTCGCCTAGCTGCTTGATATGTTCCTGGAGTTAGGGCTGCATAGAGGTGGTGCGTGATCTGGCGGAATTCCGACTTCGCTTTCTCACTCCATTCCGA